TACCATAATGTCATCACATCACTTATGGAAATAGAATCAGTTAAGAAATATTATAAAATACGCGTGTGTTGGTTTTCAGCAAAGACGGAGAGATCGAGTACGGCGTGATGACGTCACTGGTTTCGATCAGTTTGGCACAGGATGGTCAACGGATACGTAAACACTGGCCGAAAATCGTTACCGAATTGGAATTCAACCTTATGTTACCGTGGCTGGTGAACGGAACGTGGAACGTAACGTGTGTGACCATGGCCAAGCTAACCGATCAACAGTGGGACATGTCATCTTGCCGAGTGATGAACGTCTGGTCACCATCGTCCAACGTTACCCGTTGCCACTGCCCGTCAGCCGGTCTGTTCACCGTACTCGCTAGAGTGGTGCCGCTGGTCAGTATATAATTATTAGCTCTATACTACCTAATTATCTAATTATGTATTATAAAAATTTTTGGCATGAGTGGTTGGAAAAATAAACACTTAGACATAATAAGACTTGTGACCTACGTTGAAAAATGCACCGTCTCGAACATAGGTAGAAATATATTAAAACTTCAGGAAGACTGCATTTGTATTCACAATGTRAACGAGGGGCTTCGATCCCACCCGACTAAAATACTGTCTGTTTTAGGGAGACTATAGTGTAATATTTGTGGTAGGGGCTAAGAGCCCCCTTATTTATGCCAATAACTTCAGGTTTGAATAAGTTGATATGAGAGAAACACTAAACAACTGAGTCTAATTATAGGTAAAATTATAAAAGTCCAACGACTTTTCATTTAGATCGTTGCACAAACTACACGATTTCCGGGTCAATACGAATTCGTTGAATCCAAGAAACATAATTAATTTTTTTTATGACGTAGACATATAAGACTTTTGAATGGCTACTACATTCATAACAATTTTATTTCAAACTKTAAATAAACTTCTAAATTGTATTGCATACCATTAGTTAAACTAATTTGTGTCTCATATCATCATGTGTGTATATTGATTTTATATTGCGCTATAGTTGTTGTGCTCAAACCCCTCCGCTGGCGTAAATTATTTAATAAATAAAAATAAAGAATTTGTATTATCATTGCAAAACAAAAAATACGGTAAGAGTCGTATGAATTTCATATATAATTACCGTATACATTTATGTCATAAAACAGTAATAACGCTGGACTCGTGCGTGAATAGTTTTTAAGGTCGTTAATTATGTGAAATACGAATGTAAGTCTAGCTCGGAATGTCTACCTTTACATGTGTGTATAAAACTTACTAAATTGTCTACTTTTCTTTGAAATGTGATCGTACAGAGTATTTCCTTTAAGTCATGCTTCCTCGTATTATTTTTGATTAAAACGATGTTGTGACATTAACATTAACTTAAATATCTGCAATCATATCTTTAAATTATATTTTTAATCACAAAATATGTAACACGGACACAATGTTATAATATTTCCATTTACCAAATAATGTCTGATCATGAATGTTATTTTCTAGTCGAATAAAAGTTTAATGTTCACAAATTTATGGATAAAACGCATCAAATATGAATATACTCGTATCTTATTCTTAAACTGAACTTATACAAAATTACAAGCAACTTTTTATGTACTTATGCAAAATCATCTAAGATTCTTTAATCTCRTACCTTCCTTAAGGAAAACGATTTACAAACTTAATTTAATAATTCTATTTAAACCAAAAAAGGATCGACAAATTCTTTTATCATACATATTTACATTACCACTACACTTCAATTCACATTAAAACTTAAAACGAACAAAAGTTGAGAAGGTATTGTTCTTTGTTTTCTCTTAAATCACTAAAATTCATGGAATCTTGTCAAACTATTAAAAACTCGTCATCTAAACAATTASTAAGATACCGCTGAGGATAAAAAGACACAATTTAAGTACTTTTATATTACATTATGTTCCAAAAATATATTTTATACACAAYAGACCTAAGACAGTAAGGCGTATACATAATACTATAGTCAATCAAATAATACTCAAAAATTAATTCTATGTGTGCTTGGTTTTCACTACCTATTAAACTATGTTCTATTGTATRAAAAGGCACATCAATTACCACACTTTTTGTTTGGCTGGAAATTGTATGGACGGGGATAATTAATATTATCCCTATGTACCATTTAAAATATTGTAAAAATAAATTTTTTTTCATTTCTAGAATACGATTTTCTTAAGTTTTTATTTTATGGGAACGCTATAATAACAATATTGAGCGAGTAAAAGCTACGGAAAATTATTTCAGTACCTATAAATGCAATATCAATTAAACAGACTATAAGGAATATTATGTACAACTTTTTAAGAATAAAAATCAGTTCTGTGTCGTCCGCCGTCGAGCACGCACGTTCACTACGTCGCGCACGTAATTATTACTATCAGTTTTATTATATAATTATGTTCACGTATCTAGCACGATAATACGTAGACCCGTCTGTCTTGTCCCGCTCTACTACACAGAAGTTGACCAAACGGATGTCGTCGYCCTCCTCTTCGTCAAATCTCGATACAAGTCTAAAGAAAAGCAAGTCTTATGTGACGTAAAATCGGTTCGCTCCCCCTTCCGTGTTGACAATCTCCCCGAGGTTTTTAGTCCCCTTCCTATCACAATCTCACCTTCAGCTATGAACCTAGTACACCACCATCAAAACAMCCCGGTGATGGAAAAGTCGAGGTTACGAGCATGCCAGCACCGCCAATTGTCATAAGTAATGTTACTAACTACTCCTCGTTGAAAGCAGATTTTATRTCTCTAGTAGGTACCGATAGCTTTACGGCTATCACCAAGGGTTCCCTCTAATTATCAAACCTCATAATTTTGATGGTTACAGTAAACTTGTCTATTAGTGACATCAAGGGTGTCWTACATTCCCTGACACTGCAAAAGTGGCAACATCGTTGRGCTTCTTTACAAACAAAACTCAATGAAATTAAACTCTCCATTAACCCATGGACAACTTACCTTACCAAAAGACGTCACGAAGTTGTAATTAATAGAATAAGAATTGGACATACTTGACTTACACATCGTCACCTCATGAGACTAGAAGACCCAGACCCATGTACAACTTGTGGGGAAGCTCTAACTGTTAAACATAATATCCTCCTATACTGTCAAATCTACGCAGATACCAGAACAGYCTTAAGTATACCTGATCATAGGTATACATCATATATGAAGCACTTGGACCCGATCACGAAAACACTATCAAAATCATAAAGTTTCTTAAAATAACCAAATTGTATAACCTTATCTGACATTTGTATTTTTTCTCTTTATCTTTCTCTCACTATCTATGTTGCACTTATATATTTTAAMGTTATACCTTTATAAATAATCTAAATTGTACTTAATATTCATAATGTTATTTTGCACCTAATTTAATGTTTACGTTGTACAATTTGCCAATAACCTTAGTTGTTGCGGCTTTAATAAATAAAAAAAAATGTWAACTTGTTGATTACTGCAACGACTCGGATTTAGAATGCCATACGTGGGCACCCCGTCATATCCACCCTTTCAAAATGTTTATCCGCTATCTGCACCATACTATTCCTGTTAAAGATGTAGAGAAGGCCCTCCGGGATTGGGGCTTCTCAATCGTAAAATTTTTAATAATGAATCTATATCAAATATTTTATCTCAAGTTGTTACACAATAAAATTTCCTCATTACCTCATTAGTTTCACTTTTATCCACACTCTTAAACTTATTACTATCTAAGAATACTGTATCTTCTTAATTATTATATCTTCCCCGAATCCAAAATCATAAACCACCAATTTCTATTGCCTCTATGCTATTTTAATTTTTAATTAGCTTATGTAATCACTATCTGTAATTGTTGAACTGTAATAGTTACYWACTAACGTTTCTAAAAATAAAWAAATAAATAAATGAATAATGTACGACTTAAAAATTTTGGACATAACTAACGTTAAACGASTTACGCTATACCAGTGCTGTCAAAACAATCGTTCAACTTTTGATTCGAAATGGTTTAGAATTTATTTGAATAATGATAATCGTTTTATTTTTTTATTCYCTCGAATATTAAGGACGATGGAGGTCAAAGTACTTCAAAACAAGATGTGATTATCGTRTTCGGGTGTGCCTGTTGCCTAGTACAATCGGCGATGTCTCTGATGCTGCTGGTCACTCAATGGGTTAGACACCCGACGTGCATTGTTTACTTGAAGATACAGCTGTGCTTTGCAATTATAATCCAGATGTCCATGTTTCTGTACACAACAAAAAATGTAAATGTTCGTCGTTATTATTTTAATTACAATACTATTGTTTTTATTCTCAAGACGTTCTGTTCCGAACGCGCTTAACGACAACAATTTGCCATTTTCAGAACGATTATGGATATTTTTCACTGTACTTGCAAATAGTGACCATAGTGGAGATAACGTCGCACTTGAGTCAGTTGCTCATCGTCTATACGGAGATAATTAGTTTCCCGCAGTTTTCCAATATTAAACTTCCCATTATTGGGGTAGCGACAAGTGAGGATAATTTATCTATTAGTAACACGCGAGATGTGTTTTTTTTTTTATCTTCTCCATTTGGTGATAAATCCTATAATCTTAAATAATTAAAATATACTACGTTATCCATTTACCTGACGTTTAATCAATAACCGTCATATTTTTATTTCGTTATTTATCTTTTCCCTAAAACAAAATAATACAATGAAATTGGTTACCCTTCAACAATATTTTGGTTGTTATTGTTATTATTATCATWATTTTTTTATTTTTTTTTTGTTATATGGTATATAATATTATGAAATGTCTACATTTGTAGAAACATATATCAATATAATGTAGAAAATAAGTATACAACAATATGTGATAAAAACATATATGTATATACTTATAAATTACGGCATTTATAGATACATTTTAATTTATTGTTCATGTCAATTTTCTTTTTGTACTAAACAAAATACGATAATATATTACATTATTGCCTACACACGT